ATCCAGGTCATTGATGAATATGTTGAACAAGCCTTTGCCAGGCTTCAATCCAGATAGGAAAAGGAAAGCTTGAGTTTTGTCCGGTGAAAAGCCTGATCATGTATTAGGTGCAAAACAAGCAAACTGCACAGTCATCATCACGGCAGTGTTGAAAGGAATTATGAGATGATAGGCTGAGCAAGTGGTGTATTGAAAGGAATTATGTGATGATAGACTGCACAAGTGGTGTTAGGTAATGAGTGTTTTGTCACCATGCGTGTGTGTTCTTGCCAAGACCCGTCTGTGAGCATTCGAGGTTAGAACTTGCCTTGAAAACAGTCCATCAAATAACGCAAGCCCTTGCAGTCAGGTGACATCTGAGGTCCCATGGTTGCCTGCAGGCTGCACAGAACCTTGTAACTGTCTTCATTTATGAAAGGAATGAGCAAATTTTAGGACAGCAGCATCCCAAAGTCTGATTTAAGCCATGGATTGCATGTGCCTACATGTTTTAAACTGCGAAAGCAGTTTAAAAGCTGCTCCATTCATTCCTGGAATAGTTAAGTTTTGCCAGAGTTACTACAGTTATCCTGGCATCGTTGTGTAAGGTGTGGAGTGACAGTCTGTCATTTATCTGTACTTAATTTAGCACTTCATTAGCCCATGAGATGTTAAAAGCTCAAGGAACTGTGTGACAAATGTGTTTATCTTGACTAATGATTAGAAGACATTCTTGGGGTTTGAGAGTAATTTATTGCAGGCTGATACTGCCTGGAGAGTTAAGCATCAACTTTGGCTATTTTAAGCCAAGTTATCCATTTCCCATTTCCTACTGATTGTATTCAGTATTGAGTTTCTTGGCCCTCTCAAAGACTTGATCTCAGAGGACTACTGTTATGGTGATTGAACAGTGGGAGACCCAAAATTATTTCACTTGGGGGTCACCATTAGTGATAGCAGCCTGGTCTGTGCTTTGGCTCCTCAAGCAGCTCATTTGCTGCCTGGAAGCTGATTGCACACCATTAGTACGCATTCAGCACAGCTTGGGAGGTCCTGGGCAAAAGCACCTTTGGTTGCTTTGCCACCATCTCCTCTTTGTCTTTTTATTTGTGATTTTGGGTACAAAGGGAGTATAAAAGTGTATTGCATGGTAGAGGTCCACAAGTCCATAGGTACATCAAATTAAAAAATTGTGATGTCTTTCAGTGAGGCTTTGACACCAAAGCTGCTTTGCAAAATAGGAGATATAAGTGTTTATTCTGTGTGGCGGATCATTATATGTACTGGAGACCCTGAGGAACCCAAGACATAGCTCCAGTCTCGCACAGCGGTCTTTATTTGCTCTAATGTGGCTCTTTTTTCTGAGACTGGAGTTCAGTATGTCTGCACTGTGGAGCTACCATCATGTGTTTGTGCTGTGAGCTGCATCGCACAGTATGAAGATAATTTAGCTTGCTCAAGTTAAGGCTGTTCTCAGGGAGAAAAGTCAGAGTGCAGCAGTGCATGGCTAACTTCATGATTAGCTGTGTGGCTGATTTCCTTACTGAAATGTTTCCCCGAGAAAGGCTATAGAACGTAGCCACTAAATGGGCACAGGAAGCATCCTCCTGTAACCAAATGGTATACTCCCCCCCTCCCCTGCGCTGTTGGAGAAGGTGATTCACATTCTTGCCTTCTCTATTCCTCCCCCTTCTCCTTGTCTGTTGCTTTCTTTTCTTCCCAGTAGATCTCCATGTGCAAAGTACAGCTTTGCTTTCGAGAGCTGATTTGGGTGCTTTCCTGTGTAAAACAGAATTATTTAAGTGTCAGGGCTAGAAACATGACTGTGGTGTAGCTTTCTGCATTTTGTCCAGAAAGGGCAGATGCTACTTCAAACCTGTCAGCATGGATTTTCATGATCTGAAGGAGTGCTGTGTAACTCGCTGCAGGAACAGGCACCTCTTAGAAAAAATTCAGGTCAGCTGTGAGACGTAGATTGCTACTGTGAGCAAGTTACAGGAGAAAACAGAAGAACATTGTGATAGTTCCAGCAAAGGTTGTATCTGTGGTCAACGAATTGCTGTATTTAATTTCAGAGCGAGTTGTTAGTAGTTGTTCTGCAAAAGTCTTACTGGGTTTTGTTTTTACAGATCCAACCTAGGTTGATTAATCCACTGAAGAATTTGAGGCGTCTTGGACTCAAGCTCGTGGCAGAGTTTTTTTCTGATTATGAGACCTACAAATTTAGTGTGGAAGAGATTGATGCACTTTTCCATGCAGTGGTATGGCCTCAGGTAAGCATTTCTTGTTCTTCCAAACAGCTTGTGTGTAACATGTACCATGCAGAGAACTCCAGCTGTGCTGGAGTCCATAGTGTCAGCTATGTCCGTCACAAGATTGGATGAGGCCTCAGACAGATTCTGGCATTCTGATGTGTATGTGCAAGGCCAGTTTCTTGACTCGTGTCAGATTAGTCCTGGAATAATCAAGTCACAGGATAAAGTACAAATTAATCCATCTGAATAAAATGAATGCCATTTCTTTGTACTTTCACCATAGAAGCGGACTTCTTCCCTGGATGCTTCAGGGAAGCAAAATAATACTAGTTACTTCTAGGTGCACTTTGCTACTTTTCTGTGTGACAGTTATTGGGCCTGTGGTAGGGGACTGCAGAAACAAATGCTGCTGCAGGACAGGAAGGGCCCAGCATGGTCTGTCAGTGGGCTGTGTGCTCTTGTGCCTGCCTGCTGGGAGTCCTGTATGAGCACAGCGACAAGGCATAGGGTTGTGGCCTTCATCAGAGGAATTCAGATCGCCTCTGAGTTGGGAAGATGCACTATTGTGAGAGGAGGAGAAAATACATAGTATTTAAAATTAAATTGTGCTGGCTGTGTCAGTGCGTTGGGCTCTGAGGTTATCAGGGAATGCACGTACCAGCTGCTGGATCATCTCTGCTCTAAAGGCAGTCACCTCCACCCAAAGGGTAGCTGAGCAAGATGGGCTGACTCCAACAGAGCTCTTCCACTGAGGTTTTTGGGTATCCAAATGTGCAACTTCCTTGCAGCAGAAAAGCCTGTCAGAGAGCACCAGGAGGAACTGCTGTCGTCTATGAAACCCCAGATCTGCTTCTCTAGATACTGTGTTTGTTTACTCCAACCCTGTTTCTTTTCCATGCCACTAACAATACGTGACATGTAGTATATGTATTTGGACAAACAGTAAATAAAATAGTTTCAGGCAGAGCATATAGCTCTGCATTTCACTGGGCTGAGCAACAGAGAGTTGTATGTTTCTGTTTCGTCCAGGGAGTCTTTTCAAAGCTGAGGTGCTACATGGGCCAAGCAGTGAACGTTCACTGCAGTCCCAGAGCAGTTCAAGCATGTAGTTTGGGCTTTAAGTCAGCATAGCACTTAATGCTTTCGAGGTGCATTGTGTTTGCAAACACAGAGTAAATCTGAACAAAATGTAAACTGTTGTTAAAAAGTTAGAACTCCTGCTGTCCTTACAAACACAGAGTAAATCTGAACAAAATGTAAAACTGTTGTTAAAAAGTTAGAACTCCTGTTGTCCTTCCAGATGAGCTGGTTTTGGAGCTTGGATGGTTGTACGATCCAGAAGCTCCCTCTAGAGGGAGTCTCTGCCAGTGAACTCCATGAAGGTTTGGGTTTGGCAGAAGAATGATTCAACTTGTGTACTTTCCTTTTCAAGGCTATGTAATTGAGGTGTAAAAAACTGATGGAGCAGGCAAATTTTTCTAAGCCTTGGAACTGTAGTTTTCAGCTCTTCATACCACAGGGATTTGCTGCAGAGGCTCAATGTCGTTAGCCTGCACAGCAGTATTCGTGCAGGATTGGAATAATGCTTTACTCTTCGTTGTATATCGTTCAGAAAAGCTGTATTTTATGCAGAGCAATAACGTTACCAGCCTTTGGGGGCAGCAGCAGAAGCTTTCTAAGACCCTGGCTGTGATGGTCAGACGTGCCTTCTTTTCTGTCATGCTCGGATCTTGAGCCCAGACTAAGCTAGTCCAAACCCCACATGCACCATCCTGGATATTGCCCCCAAATGCACTGGAGCCTCCCCTGCCTGTGTGTTCACAGTGGTGCCCTTCTGACAGTCCAGCTGTGGGCAGAGTGGAAGCTCAGCTGTGTGACTTGTGTGCAGCCCTGTTGGGCTGTGGAGTGGCAAAGAGGAGGGAGCCAGACCTGTGCACTGGGTCTCTTTTGCCTATATCCAGTCATGTGAAGGAGCAGCAGCTACTGTGTGGGGCTCAGGCTGGGCAGCTCTTAGGTGGGGTTGTTTTGGACACAGAATGCTGTTAGGAGATCCCATTCCTGGGGTGCAGTGCAGTGCTCGAGTCTCTCCCTGAGCAGAGAGAGGACTTTTATAGCAACGAGGCCATGGAGACAGAGCAGATGCTGGAATGGCAAGTGCTTCGGCCAGGGCATAGGAAGTGTGGGAGGAGCGAGTCTTGGGCGTTGTGCTTGAGATCTCGTAGGTATGCCTGGGAGAGGTTGCTAGGTCTCTGTGGCAAATGTGGGGCTCCTTGGGGAGCCAGTTTCAAGGGGAGGGCAAAAATGGTACCTGAAGTAGTTTATAAATAGGAGTAAGATAATCTAAGAGTGATTCCACAAGTATTGAGGAAGCTGAAAAAATGATGATGAAACTGCTTTCTAAAAGAAGGTAAACTATAGATTGTATTGAGGTCTTTGTTAGAGATGAGGTTTTTAAGTGGCTTTACCTGCTTACGTTGCAGTGGTATCTGATTTTTTTTTTTCTCCTTTAGGTCTGCAGATTGGCTTCAGAGAGTCAGTATTCTCCAACTTTTCTGCTCAAACTCATTCACACCTGGAGTAAGAATCCCAGGTAAGTGTTCCGCTTGCAAAGAAGTGTAAGTACTTCACTTGAGTACACAAGATTCAAGGAAAAAAGACCACGCTAAGAGATTATGAATAATTGTGTCAAACCCCATATTTCTTTTTCCATTAGGCTGTTATTCTTTTGATAGCAGTCCAGATGCAGCTGGAAAACCTTCCAATTTGTGCAATTACTCTCATTTTAGTGGGCTGCTTTTCCCATATATTAACGACTAAGCACATATGTAGTCCAAACTCAGCTGATGGGTGAGGAGGAAGGCTGACTTCTTAGAATATGTCTGTGTCTTGATCAGTGACTTCTTAGTCTTGGGAGACAGGAAGTCAATTTTACAATTTGTCATGTCATTCATGTCTTTTGATTCCCTGTTTCTTTCTGTTTTATGAAAGAACATCAGCAGGTTCAGCACAGAATCTATGACTGAGATTCTGATACTGAAAGTTGTAAGGGAGCTTTTTTTGATGCAGACACTGTGAGAAATTCCAGCTCAACTGTTTTGAGTCATCTTTGGCCCTTCCACAGACTCACTGCTTTTCCTTTGCTAAGGTATCCATTATCTGTTTTAAGACCCATCATTTGTAGGCATGAAGAACTTGTGTAAAAACTGTTACTGGATCATTAGATTAAGAGCAGACTAACAGGAGACTTTTACAAACATCAATGGAGAAAAAGTTAGGTTTTAGAGGATGCTGTCTTGAAGCAGGAAAAGGGATCTGATGACCTGTCAACCTCCATTCATTCTATTTTTCATGACACTGTTGTTCTGTCATCTTTTTTTGTGCTTTTTCCTTGTTTGAAGTAGAAGACAGTCATTATCTTTTTGTGCAACTTTTTACCCAAAAGAGTTATGAAGTTCTGAACTTAAATTTTCAGCCAACCTTTTTTGTAATCTATCTTTCAGGTATTTCCCCTTGCTGGCCAAGCAGCAGCCAAATCACCCAGAGTGTGATATACTGTCAAATGTGTTTGCTGTGCTGTCAGCCAAGAATCTGTCTGAGGCCACATCCAGCCTTGTGATGGACATAGCTGATAGCCTTCTCAACAGCCCAGATTTTGAACCCACAGAGCAGGTTTCCAGTTTGAATGTGACTGACTGTGTTGTGATGGTCACTGGAGACAGGACAGAAGGTATGCCTGTGTAAGAGTCATGAGAGGCCCGTTGGGTGCTTTGGATGGAGGTGTTAAATTATGATGAGGTTCTCTTTGCGTTGGTTGAGAATACCAGGGAGGGAGACCTCCCAGTGAAGATGAAAACATCAGTGCACAAATTTGTCCTGGCATGCTCAAGAACTGTAAAGTCCTGTTTGTCTAATGACTGTTGAGATCCACATGTGAGCGTCAGGGTCCTGAGCATGGAGAAATTCCTTGTGAAGAAGGAAAATGTGTTGTCAGCCTGTTTTGTCTATAAAGCTTTTACTCATATGATAACTCCAAGAACTGCATTGCTGACTTGACTCTGAGCCCAACATCAGGTTTTATATAAAGGCCCACTCCATGTATGCACGTGGTTGTGTACCACTTTGATGTTCAGTCTGTGCTCCCTGACAAGAAAGACCTGACATTGATTCCTTTTGTCTTTGAGTGGTAGTAGACAGGAAGGGTGGTGTGCTGTGTTTGATGCTGTGGAGCCATCTTTCACCTGTAACACTCAAAGGTGATGGAAAGGAAAGCACTTATCGCTGTGCCCTTATTATGGCAGCTTTAATTTGCACAAGAGGTCAGTGATAGAATAAAGAAAACTACATCTATAAATGTTCCAGCCACTTTAGGAGCTGGTTACTACCTTTGAGGAATGTCCATGGTACCTGTTGATAAGCCCACACTTACTGGGTCTCTTACTGAAATCTGAGGAGAGCTTTTATTCTTTTGTGTGTGCTTTGGGCCCAGCTTAGGCATGTTAGACTTCATCTCAGCAAGTGCATGTTCCCAGCAGCCAGGTGCCCTGCACATTGGTAGCTCCCTTTGATTTTTTTTTATTTATTTTTTTTTTATTTTTTTTTCTTTCCACTGATAAAACCTCCTTTGTCTGCGTTTTGCCCTTTGTTTGTATAGGGTTGGATCTCCCTTCTGTTGATTGCTGCACAGAGTTGGGTGTTGCTAACTGTTGTATCCCTTACAGAGACCCTCAGCCTAGGTTGCCGCTTGGTTCTGCCCCATGTTCCTGCCATACTTCAGTACTTCAGCAAAACAATGTTAAATGTGGAGAAGGTGAGAAAGAAGAAGTATAGAGCTCAAGTCAGCAAAGAGCTGAGTATTCTTTCCAAGTAAGTGATTCTTTAGAGCTCAAAACAGTTAAAAAGTTGGAAGGAGGGAAGGAGGAAGAAAGAGGCTTTTTGTAATAAGTTCCAAATTAAAAAAAAATTACATCTCAAACTATTTAAATTTAGAAAAGTTGAAAATACCTGGATTTGTCATTGACCTTGCAAGTTGCTGGTGACTGAGGCAAAAAGTTTTCAGAAATTGATTCTAGCTATTTCTGTTGCTCATACTCAAAAGCAATGCCTCTTGGGGTAGGAGAAGGTACAGAAATGCCTGCAGTCAGGTTGAACTGAATACTTGGGCTCATACCATGATTTTAGTGGGTATATTGTATTAGCCTGGATGGGCTGATGAAGCCCTGTGATATGGCAGTAGAACTGACTGAGTTGTTCTTTGCTCTATACTGGTGATTGGGTTGATATAAAATAGTAAATTACCTTGTCTCATTGTGCAGGATCAGCAAATTTATACAGGAAAAGAGTCAGAATTCAGTTCTTGTGAGCCTTCTCCTTCCTTTCCTGTATCAGAGTAACATGGAGCAGGTAGGTAGAAATTACTTTCCCTGCCCCCCCAATAAACATATGTTTTTCTTTTAATAAAGTATATTTGTTTAAGATGCAGTTAAGTCTTACTGAGTTCATGCCATTTCTTATGATTGGCCTGAAATCAAGTCTTCATGTGTTTGTAGTCTGCTGAGAATGCTGTGCTGTTGCGTGTTGATGTGTACGAGTCACTGGATACTTTGCAGGGATGCCAGTGCTCAGGCTGAGTCTGTTCCCTCTTTTCATGGGGAAGATCTGCAGAAGATTTTATGCCATCTTTACCTCCTTTGCCACTGTAGTCAATCAAATTCCTTGCAGTGTTTGAAATGTGGATTTTGGGCACCTCAAGTATAAAGCCACAGCATCTGGACAGCAATATGAATACACATGGTTGAGTATGTAGTACGTGCTGTGTAATGGGCAGCGCTACATTGGTCTGTTGCAGGATGGAAGGCAAACGTTATACAGTACTACTGACATGCTCCTGTATCTCCTGCTTCTATTCTGTTCTCCTTCCACTCTGAAGGAATCCATCTGCAGGTGCAGAATTGTATCTGAGTACTGAAACTTCCCTAAAATCCTAAATTCCTCAGGGATGCAAAGCGTATGGCCTGCCATTGAAGGAAGCAGAGCTTTCCATGGCTTAGGCTTTTATAAACTGTTAATTAAATCAAGCACTGAGGATATTGGTAGACTATTTTGTCTTGGATTCCCTTGCTGCCAGACCTTCTTTTCAGAAATATAGTCCCATCTACAATGAATGAATCTATTGATTATTCAGCTTGATTGCCTCAATCCTTGGATCAAGGCTTGTGTCTTGTTTTTCTTAAAAGGCATGCAGTTGCTCAATGAGAGATTTTAGGTTTGCAGGAAGAACTGCTAGGCAGCAGTCTGTAGCTTCTGCTTTGCCAAGTGGTCATTTAATTGTTCACAGAGGATTCTTGGTTTTTTAATGTGTGAATCACTAGGGAACTATACATGATTTCCATTCAGGGAGATCATACAAGTGTATGGTGCTGTGAATGTTCGTTTCACAGATTAAAGAAAGACTACTTTTAAAAGCTCTATTAATTCTCCTGACCTTTGAGTCATTTGAGGAAAGACACAAAAAAGAAGTCTTCATTGTGATGGCACTCTAACGCTGTGCTGGTGTCTGATTGAAAGAGCTTCTGAGAGATTTGATGGTCGCATTGAGCGTGTCCTCCTGATTCTTTGTTCTCATTCGGTATCTGTGATCTGAATAAAATACAGCAAAGTGGTTAAGTTCACTCTGGGCCTTGAAATACTTCCCAAGGAAATGAAATAATCTCATGAGGTTTCAGTATTTATTGATGGTTATCTGTTTCTTTCAGGGTACAGAGATTGACATTCTGGAGACAGTGCAGAACTTGCTGAGGCATTGCTCAAACCCTACAAGCTTTCTCAAACCACTCGCAAAGCTTTTTTCTGTTATCCAGAACAAACTGTCTCGACATAAGCTGTGCTTGGTATTTCAGGTATTGCATTTTTATATGGTTTTTTGTGCTTTTTTTACTTCTAAGAGATCAAGAACAAAATAAATAGCAGAATTTATCTGTGCTGTACATGAGCTTAAAAACCTTTTTAGTCTGCATCATCTGTTGAGTGAAAGTAAGAGAGTTGTATATGATGGAAGTTAATGAGCTGCACAAAGATTTGTAAAAGTTTTGGCTTACAGCCTGGTTGATGTGAGCATCACCAGGGTTCTTTTGTGTAAGAGAAGCCAAATAAAGCACACTTCATCTGTAATGAATCCTGTATCTTTATGAAATAAGGATGGATTTCAGCGTGCTGAAGGTGATTTTTATTTGTATTCTTCTCTCACAGATTTATAGCAGTCATGCTGTTTTGTA